GCAATAACTATGTATAGTGACGGGGGTGCTAGGCCTATTGGAGGGATCTTTAGACTTTGTAAAGTATATTATTGTCTAACCACTATGCTGTACACCTAAAACTAATACAGCATAATATTGAACGTAAGCTGTAATTGAAAAATAAAATCTTTAAAGTTTTTTAAGGAGATACCTGCACACTCATGTCCGAAGCAGCATTATTCACAGTAGCCAAGAGGTGGAAGCAACCCAACATCTGCAGACAGATTCGTGGATAAACAGCACATGGTGTGCACATGCAACGGAACTTTATTCAGCCCTGCAGGGGAAGGAAATCCTGCCACATGGCACAACAACATCGATGAGCCTTGAGAGCAGTGTCCTAAGTGAAATAAGCCAGTCACAAAAGGACAAATACTATATGACCCCACTTGTATGAAGCACCTAAAGTGGTCGGATTCCTAGGAACAGAAAGTAGGACGGTGAGGACAGGACACTGGGGGGTCGTGGGAGTGGGGCGTTGTTTCGTGGGTACAGAGTTTCAGTTTTGCGAGATGAGAACAGGTCTGAAGATTGGCTGGCCCACAACGTGAATGTACCCACTGCAACGGAACTGTGCGCTGAGAACTGGTTAAGGTGGTAAATTGTATGTGATGTGCATTTTACCACATTTTTAAAAAGCACAAGCTTATCTTTTCACAGGTTTGCTCAGTGTGCTTCCTGGTCTCAAGTCGAAAGAAGCTGGTGATTTCATTTGGAGTCTATGGCGCCCCAACCCTGCCATTTGGGAGAGATATTTTGTCTCCAACAATAGCAGTGAGGGTAAGAAGAATTGAATCACCTGGCCTGGATGTCAAAAAATATCCAGGATTTGAACAACGAACCCCTCACTTGCATGATAATAATTCTCAGATGTCCCGTTTCCCGAGTGGGATTGCCAAAAAAACTGTAACTGCTCTCCTTGTGTTGATCAGAACCGCGTTTATGAGGGCGCTTTTTTCTCTCTGCTTCTCTCCACGTCTGCCCCCTTGCTCCTTCAAGCCTATGACAATGCACCTCCCACACACAACTAAAGACGCACGACTTTCACTGACGAGTTTTACATTAAGGATCCAGGTTACTCAGCACAGAGCGTAACTAAAGCAGGTCAGTGGTGTGCGCAGAGAGGAATATAGGTTAGTGAGTCACCACTTTCCTGGATCGTCCGAGGCCTCCCAGTCCTTGAGATGATTCGTGTTTCATTCACTTTTATTCAGTCGTGGTTGCTGCGCTCCCCCTTTCATTCCCAACTGAAAGGCCACATTCAGGGGCTTTTGAAGTTTTTTGGTTTTAATGATAAAAGCCAGAGTTACATCAAGGAACAAAACTAGTAAGAATGTATAAAATAAAGTGAGTTTTTCCAGCAATTTACAAAGTGAAAAAACATTCCTTCCACCTGCCACACCCCACCCCACATCCAAGTATAAGAACTGAGTTAAATGTAGGTGGTAATTACACTTCCTCTGGGAACCTCGGGAAAACCTTAGACTTTCATCTAATTTTTTCCACCCATTAAATGGTCATTAATAATATAACCTCTGACTCCAAGCCTCCAACCCTGTTTGGAGGCAAGAGGATGAAGCAGGGCTACCAGAAGCCCCGGAATTGCTGGGTGGTAGACCAGCAGGCTGAGGAGCCCCACCACCCAGGTCGATGACTGGGGCAGTCAAGAGGCCTTCCCACTTCACGCCAGGGGAGTGACAGGTTCCATCCCAGTGACGCGGGGCTGTGTTCCTCCAAGCACCATCCACACACATAGGTGGTCTCCAAAGTCTATCAAGTAGTCTTTTGATAGCATGGCCGTTTCAAAGGCAAATGTGATCAAATAATTTTGTTTGTATATATGTCAGAAATTTGAAATGTAATATTAAATAACAATTTTAATATTAAATCACAGATATCCTACTAACATTTTTAATAGTCATTATAATTTTTAAAAATTATACATACGCTTCAAAGATTTTGTTGTTTAATTCATCTTGGAGTATTTTCGCCTCACTAGCATGTTCCTATTCATGTAATATAATAATAGCTGATACGGTAGTTAAGAATAGACTTTAACACTGCACAATTTCCTTCTAAGTTGGTATCAACTAATATATGCCACCATCATTTCCATAGCATTTTGCAGTTTACAAATGCTTTCAGCTTCATTTCAAACACCACGAGGTAGGTAGAAGAGTATTCTCCCATTATTTAGAAGGAACTAAGCCTCCGGCGTTTAAGTGGTGTGCCCAAGGTTGAGACAGCACCAGATGCATTCACGGGAGCTCCAGCAAAATCTGAAATTTACTGCAAGAGAACAGACACTATGATTCTTTTTTACAAAGATGCATGATTTAGAGAATTCAGTTGTGTTTTTCTTTCAGCACAGGATGAGGGAGTCCTTCCATTTCAACAGACAACAAAACTGATTATTTTGTTTTGTTATACTATTTATGAATTATCTCAGGCATAATACTTTTTAAATAAAAGAATTGCTTTATGACAATGCCAAGTAAGGATGGTTTTTATTATATCAGTTGGCTTGCTTCTAAAGTGAATTGTTTTACCTAATCCTTCAGGGTCAAAATTTCTCAAGTTTTAATGTGGAAAAAAAAAAAGGATATCAAGTTATTTTAAAATAATGGACCACGTGCAAACAACTGACTGGAGTTTGGTTCTCTCCTAATAGCTGCTGGGTCTTCATTTGTTCAAGAATAAAATCAGTGGCATGTTGTGGGGCATATTTTTACACCATCTGCAAATGCCTGTAACAGGATATGAAGGATGACTTTCCAAGGCTGAATGAAGCCAGACTGGAACCCTTCTCTGCGGCAACATATGCGCCACGCTGGCTGCGTTAGCCCTGAATGTAGGCACCAAGCAGCTGCCATCGTTGCTGTGCCGTCCGATACCCTCTGACAGAGCCCCCTGCACTTGCTGTCATCCTAATGTCTTAGCATTGTGAACTCGTGTTCTCTGAATTCATGGGAGTCAATCTCAGGAAATAAACCAGCAAGGTGCTAATGTGAAACGTAAGCTCATTCAAACATTTCTCAAACATTTCGTATACATGCCTCATGAAAGATATCAAACAATATCATCCTTCCCATCAATAGTAAACCATTATCATTTTTATCATCAATTTTTGAAGATCCAGCTTTACTTTTATTATTTAAACATTTATGGCAAATACATTTTTTAACTAAGTGAAATTTGGGCCCACATGTTTCTTGATTACCTATTAGAGGACCTACAGGGGGGTGAGGGGAAAGTTGAGAAATATGACATAGGGGTTTGCCAATCACATTCACAAGGAACACTCATTTTTCCATGAGATGGACCAACTAAAATCATGCCTTGGCAATTCGCATTTTACCCATCCACAGAATTTAAGTAAGTTTATGAACAAAATTTTCTCAAAACTATGTTTTTCTCCCGTTCACTTTCTTACCTTTTCTGATACATGCCAATCTTGTAAATGAGCATTACCAGCAAATGATTAAACCAATAAACTGATAACAAAAGAAATTACTAACTCTTTTAATGATGTATTTTTCTAATAGGTATAAAACATTTTTTCTACTGGTAAAATGATTCCTAGTTGACAGGACAAAAATAAATATCAAAATATTTTAGTGTATTACATAAAAAGTGCCATGTGTACTAGTTGCACTTGGAAAAAAGTATTTCAGAAATTATGTTAAATAAAAATCTTAAACTTCTCCAGGGCAAAAAGAAAATACTATAAAGTAATAAAAGACAAATTGGAAAAAATATATTTCAAACAAATACACAAAGAAGCCTTTACAACACAGTAAGAGAAAGAGAAACGGCCAATGACATATGGAGAAGGCTTGAGGTGGGGCAGTGCTCAGAGGAGCTGCAAATGCACAGATCTCCTGCAGGTCTCCAAGGGTTCCTGGGACAGGAAATAGTCAGCAATGCGGAGTAATGACTATGGCTCATCAGGCTCTTCCTGGCTTGTGGTAAGTATCCGCCCAGCCCATTCAATCCTTTTTCACTCTGAATCCACGCCTACCAAGCAATCTTCTGATTAATCATTTGTTTTCTCTGGGTTTTGTAACCTAAATGGGATGAGCTAAATTGTAAATCACAAATGCATGAGTTAGCTCTGGGATTTATGTATACATCAGGCTCATATTAAAAGAAACTAACATGCCAGGGAATTGGGAGATGTCGTTAAAGGGTATAAACTTGCAACTAGCAGATAAAGAAATCCTGGAGATCTAATACACAGCATAGTGACTGCAGACAACAACACTGGATTATAAACTTCACAGTTGCTAAGCAACTAGATCTTAATTGCTTTCACCCCAAATAAATGAAATTATAAGACGTGATAGAGGTGTTAGCTAACACTTCGGTGGTATATGTAAATGTACCAAATCAACATGTTGCAAACCTTAAACCTACACAATTATATGCCAATAATATCCAAATAAAAAGAAACTAATACTTTGTAACAGAAATTTATAGATAACAAAATACCTTCACATTTGCAAGCTATTGTGAATTCGCTCTGGAATAATTTCTCAGGGCCTAATCAACTGTGGATAGGCTGAAAGAAGTCAATTTTGTGGACTTGCAAAGCCAGGAATCAGACCTTTTACCACACTAATTCTTTGAAGAATGGGAACACTACTGGGCATGCTCAGAATTTCATACAGGGGCAGAGAAAAACAAGCCGACAGGATGGGCTTGAGAGGGTTAAGGTGAGAAATAAGAAAACTGCCTTCTGCTTGCAGCTTGCTCAGTCCAGCTCATCCAGCACCCAGTTCCACTAGGGGTCAGGCTTTACCTCAAGCCCATGCCAGTCCATGCCAGTCCATGCCAGCAAGGTACCCGAGGTGGGCCGCCTCCTCCCTCTCCCTCTTGCTTCCTTTCCTCGGTCCTCCTTTTTCCCCTCCGGGTCATTCATTTCACGGGTGTATTTTGAGCAGTACTGAGCCTCTACGCCAGGCACAGCACCAGATGCTGAGATACAGACATGAAGAGTGAAGTGGAGCAGGCAGACCTTTAACGAAGTAAATTGCGGAGGGTGGGGTTACAAATCCCATATTCTTTAACTCGGCCTTGATTAGAAAAGATAATGAGAACAGAGCTAAGGCCTCCGTCAGCAGTTCACAAACAACTCAAAACAACTTTGAGGCCCACAACCCTGAGGTCCCTTGAGTGCTTCACTGCTTCCCAAGACTTAAAGACTTTCTGATGAGATCAATAGTGATATTACAAAGGCGATTTCAAAAATATATTGTATAGAGCCGGCCAGGTGGCTCAGCTGGATGGAGCATCGTCCCATACAGCAAAAGGCTGCAGGTCAGGTTCCCGGTCAGGGCACATACCCAGGTTGCGATTTCAATCCGCGGTCGGGGTGCCTATGGGAGGCCACGGATCAATGTTTTCTCTCACACTGATGTTTCTCTCTATACCCTCCCCCTTCCTCTCGCTCAAAAATCAATTTTAAAAAATAGCATAATGAAATAATGAACTGTGTCAACAGCTGAATGAGTTGCATTAGTGAACCAATATTTTCCAAATGATCAGTGCTTGATGTTACAAAATCGTGGGTAAAAGGCCCATTCAAAGTGTGAGACAGATGAAGAGATTTTAATATAAGAGTACGAAGAGTTCACTGGTATGGTTTCAGATTCCACGTTGGAACTAGACCTTAAGAAACGACCACTTCTCAAGTTTGATATAATATCAAAGAAGAATATGGCAACTCTCTTAAAAGGCTTTTGTAATCATCCCGCTCCCATGCCCCAGTTCCAGCACGTCCACATGAGGCCACATGTCCTTCATATATTCAAGCAAAATATACTGATCGAACACAGAAGCAGGTGTAAGAATTTTCCATCTTCTACTAAGCCAGACATGAAAGAAGTTTGCAAAAATGTAAAATAATACCACTCTTCTCATGAAAAATTTTTTAGAAAACAGATTTTTTTTCTAAAATGTGTTACTTATATTAGTATGCAATGGGTTTATTATTTGTATTTCTAAACAAATTAATAAATGTTTTTGTTTCTTAGTTGTAATTTTGAATACAGTAAATACCAATGGATATCATCGATCATTTTTAAGAGTGAAAAAAGTCCTAAGACCCAAAACTTTCAGCAGCACCATCTTAAAAGAAAGGGAGGGAGCCGAGGTGTCTTTTGTCCCTGCCAATGGAAACTTGACATAAGTCACCTGTAAAGAGTGAAGGGGGTTGTGGGTGAAGGACGATTTAACCTGAGACTCCAAAAAGGTGCGAAAGTTTGAGATGGTTACAAACAAAACCAGGACAGTGCTGGAAGCTAGAGGCTCTCTGGGTTCCTCGGGAGACCCCCTCTCACTGCCGGCTGCTCGCGCGGGGCTTCCTTACCTGGAGGGCTGCTGGCCCTCGCGCCTGCTGCCTGTCGCCGGGCCGGCACCATAGCCACGCAGGCCCGGAGCAGCGCCTCACGGAGGGTCCCCAGGTTTCCAGAGCACCCTGTGCCTCAGCTGGTATAGCAGCGCCTGCCGGAGACCAGGACCGGAGACCGGCCTCAGGGTTGCCCATGAGGCACAGTGAGAAGCCCTGAGACGGTGAACCAGCAGGTGGCACTCTCTGGAAGCCAAAAAAAAAGTAAAATTCAGTTCTTCGCGGCACCTCTGAGCTCTGCTGTCCTAGAAGCACAGGAGGAGTCTCTCACTGACCAGCGATTTTCAACCTTTTTCATCAAATGGCACACATAAACTAATTACTAAAATTCTGCAGCACACCAAAAAATATATTTTTTGCCAACATGACCAAAAAAATAGGTATAATGTTGACTCATTCACACCAGACGGCTATTGTTGTGTTAGCTGTTGTCATTTTTTTATTTAACAGTCTAAGGGAAGAGAGGTCAGTGCCCCTGATGAAATAGGTATTGCACGTTTTAAAAATTCCTGTGGCACACCGGTTGAAAATCGCTGTCAGTGACAATTGAGAGCAGAGATGCTGGATGTCTTTCCTGTCAGATACACTCTCCACCCTTCTCTTCCCCGCTGTGTCCAGGACACTGGCATGTGCGGCCCAGCTCAACAGGCTGCCCAGGTCTCTGCCTTCCAATTGGGTTTGGCTGCTAGCAGATCAGAGGGCCAGAGAAGGAGAGGGGAGGTCATCTATTCTGCTTCCCTCCCTGCTAATCAACAAAGGATGTCTGTCTCTCTTCCTAAGCCACCTCTCTCCATACATGGTTTTCTTTCTTTTTCTCTCTCTCTCCCTCTCTCATACACACATACACACACACACACTCCATAAAGACTCCCTCCCATCACCCCTGCCCACTTCCCCTCAATTACTGGGACTCACACACTGCCCTGTTGCTTTAACTGACCCCAGCTGCATCTCTTAAACAGCTCCTTTCGTTAAACCCTTTGCAAATGACCCATCACCTAGACTGGTACAGCAAATTGAAGGCCCTTGGACATATCTTAGGAGGGGAAATCTGGGGATGAGAGCCAGACTTTCTGCTAATCATTCTGATTTGAACATTGAAAGAAATGACAACTAATTTTTTTTGACAGAGCTGGTAAAGCAGAGCACAAGTTACAGTGTTTGCTTCTATCGTCTTCCTCCTACCTGCCTGGGAGCACCTGGAGGGTAAGACTCATCTTTGGAGTCTTGCAGCTGGTAGATGCTCAAGAAATACTCATTGGCCTTCCCATTGCTCCTTTTCAGTTATTTTTCAATCATCCTCTGTCATTTAAGTAGGAGACGCATCTCTGTGTCTCTTGCGTGATTCAAGCGTAGCATTTACGATGTCCTGACCTTGGGAATGCTCACTGCTCATCAGTAATTGTTGACGGCCCTGTTTTCTGTTAATCTTCACCAGAGGATTTTTTTCCCCACTGATTTTTAGAGAGAGTGG